TTAAAGCTTCTGGATGTAGGGATCATCTATCCCATATCAGACAGTCATTGGGTGAGTCCAGTACAGGTCGTACCGAAAAGGGGAAGGATCATGGTGGTTCCAAATGAGAACAACGAGCTCATCCCGACACGCACAGTCACAGGTTCAAGAGTTTGTATTAACTATCGCAAACTCAACAACGCCACAAGGAATGATCACTTTCTCCTTCCCTTCATTGATCAAATGCTAGAAAGACTTGCTAGACATGCTTACTATTGCTTCTTGGATGGTTATTCGGGGTACAACCAGATTCTTATAGCGCCGGATGATCAAGAGAAGACGACCTTTACATGCCCTTATAGTACTTTTCCTTATAAAAGGACGCCCTTCGATCTTTGCAACGCTCGTACCACCTTTCAACATTGTATGATATCTATTTTCTCGGACATGATGGGAAATATCATTGAGATGTTTATGAATGATTTCTCAGTATTTGGAAAATCATTTAAATAGTGCCTTGAACATTTGGGAAAAGTGTTGCAGCGGTGTGAAGACACAAACCTTATTTTAAATTGGGAAAAATGTCATTTCATAGTTCAAGAAGGGATTGTGTTAGGGCATCTGATTTCAACGCAGGGTATTGAGGTGGATAATGCTAAGATACAAGTCATCGAAAAACTACCACCATCGATAACAATGAAGGAAGTTAAAAGTTTCCTGGGTCACGCTGGGTTCTACCGTCACTTTATCAAAGACTTTTTCAAAATCTTGAAGCCATTATGCATTCTATTGGAAAAAAGAGCTCCATTTCACTTTTCTGAGGAGTGCTTGACTACTTTCAACACTTTAAAGGAAAAATTAGTTTCTGCTCCAGTGTTGGCTCCTCCATACTGGGATTATCTATTTGAGCTTATATGTGATGCCAGTAATCATGTAGTGGGGAGAAGATTTCCCATGTTATTCACTATGCCAGAAAGACTTTGGATGAGATTCAAATGAATTATGCTACTACAGAGAAAGAGCTTTTGGCAGTGGTGTTCGTCGTTGATAAATTCAGATCATATTTGATTGGGTTAAAAGTGACTGTCTACATAGATCACTCAGCATTGAAATATGTAATGAGCAAGAAGGATGCAAAGTCGAGACTTATTGGATGGATACTCCTATTAAAAGAATTTGATTTGGAGATCCGAGATAAAAAGGGGAGCGAGAATGTTGTTGCAGATCATTTATCTCGCCTTGAATCACATGAGTCACACTCTAAGAAGAAGATCGATAAAGTTTTCCCTGATGAAATGCTTTTTCAGATTATCACTACAGCATGGTAGGTCGATTTCGTCAATTATTTGGCCCGCTCCATCATCCCACCAAACTACTCAAGTTACCAAAAGAAGAAATTCTTCAGTGACTTAAAACATTACTTCTGGGATGATCTAATTCTTTATAGAAAGGGTCCAGATCAGATCATATGTCGTTGTGAGCTAGAAGTAGAGTAGCATCAAGTATTGAAATCATGTCACTCTGCACCTTATGGAGGCTACTTCGCAGCAACCAAGATAGCAGCAAAGATACTGCAATCGTGTTTTTATTGGCCTACACTGTTCAAGGATGCCCATTATATGGTGAAACGTTGTGATAAGTGTCAGAGGACTGGAAACATCTCAAGGAGAAACGAGATGCCTTTGAACGGTATTTTGGAGGTTGAAATATTTGACGTTTGGGGCATTGACTTCATGGGACCATTCCCTTCATCCTACGGTCAACAATACATACTGGTGACAGTGGACTACATGTCCAAGTGGATTGAAGCTGTGGCTTTGCCAACTAACGATAGTCGAGTAGTAACTCAATTTCTGAAGAAAAATATTTTCACGAGGTATGGCACCCCGAGGATGATTATTAGGTGGTGGAAAGCATTTTTGTAACCGCCTATTTGCTTTGCTGTTGGCCAAATATGAAGTGAAACATCGTGTCTCGACTCCATACCATCCTCAGACTAGTGGGCAAGTAGAAATCTCCAATAGGGAGTTAAATAAGATTCTCGAAGCTATGGTCAATGCATCACGTAAAGATTGGGTTAAGAAACTAGATGATGCACTTTGGGCATATAGAACAGAATTTAAGACTCCAATTGACATGTCTCCATATCGGTTGGTATTTGGAAAGGCGTATCATCTGTCGGTTGAGTTAGAGCATAAAGCATGCTGGGTGACACACTTGCTCAATTTCAATATGAGAGCAGTAGGAGAAAAGAGGGTTCTACAGTTTCATGAGTTATATGAGTTTCGTTTGGATTCATATGAGAATGCAAAGATTTACAAGGAAAAGACCAAGAGATGGCACGACAGGCATATAAAGGAGAAGGAGTTTGAGGTTGGTCAGCAAGTATTGATGTTCAATTCACGCCTCAAGCCTTTTTTGGGAAAGCTCAAGTCTAGGTGGTCGGGTCCCTTCACAATAGTAGCTGTATTTCCACATGGTGTTGTGGAAGTGGTGTCTCAAAATCAACAAAAGAGGTTCAAAGTAAATGGACAACAGTTGAAAGCTTATTGGAGAGGTGTCTACTCCAGTGAGAAAACAACCGTGGCACTTGACAATGCAGAGTAGCCAGGACAACAAAGTCTAGCTAAATACTATAAATTAAGCTCTTATTGGGAGGCAACCCAATTTCTAATCCTGATTTATTTTTCTTTCTTTATGGCATTGCATATAGATTTGTTTTAGTTATTATTTTGCATTAGATTTAGGCACGTTTATATTTATAGAGTATCATCATCCGATCATGTTTTTCACGGAGGCCCTTAAATATAATATTGGTTATTTCAAGTGTTTGGACTAAGTAACACATGTTTTAGATTATTTGATCTCTAATGTTTGATTTGATTGCCATATGCAGGAACATGACGTCGTGAACACTCAAACGAACATCGACCAAGGGGAAAGCATGATGAGAAAGATTGTCTAGCTATCACGTACAGTATCTTCCACATTAAATAGGAAAATTCAGGAAGTACCTTCATCCTTTTCTTCCCCGTCCCCTTATATTCTTAATTATGTTTTAAGATATTGAGGACAATGTCTGGTTTGAGTTTGGGTGTGGGAAACACTTTGTGTTTTTTATTTTCATATGTTTTCGTGCGTTGTTTTCATATGTTTAATTAACAAAAAAAAATGTTGTGTGTGTTAAGTTAAAAAAAATAATTTTTTTTTTTAAAAAATCGTTAAATTTTTAATTGTTTATTTTTTATTGTGTGCTTGTATGAGTTAGACAGTTTGGCAAACAATGATGATTAAATTTGAAATTTGGTATTGATTTATGAATTATGGATAGGGAGCATGCTAGATTGATTGAAACTTAAACTTGCAAAACTTAATATTATATGTGTACTAGAATTGAGTTTGACATTTTAATGAAATGAGTTGATTTATACATGTGATAGATTGTTTTAGTTGGACATAGATACGTTAAACAAACCATACTAATTATTTATCCGTAGACTAAATTTAGCACAATTTGGGGAGTTCTTACTGTTGTAGGAAGTCGCGGATGTGAATGTGGATTCTTTGTGTGAAAAAGTTTGTGTGGATTGTCGTAGATTAACATGATAAAATTGGGTGAAAGTCTTAAATTGGGGGTCGGTTTGCTTGAATGGGTGTGTGATAAAGGACATTGCACTAAACAAGGCATTTATTTTGAAATTTAAAACTTCTCTTCGAAGCTTTTATGACTCGAGCAATTAATTCTGCATCGGTATCTTAAAATCTAGTGCCCTAAAGTCATCTAAGTTGGGAGTCATTGGCCTAAAGCTCGTTACAGGGATCATTTAAAAGCAATCGGATTTGAAATTGTCCTAAAAATTGTTCTATTCGAAACCATTTTTACTTGGGTCATTAAACCTGTAAGGGTATTTGAAAACCTAGTACTCTAAAGTCATCTAACTGGGAGTCATCGGCCTAAAGTCTGCTACATGGATCATCTAGAAAGCTTAAGGGGGAGTGCAAAGCAAAAGCACTAAATCTCTTGTAAGTCCCAACACTTGTTCAATGAAATTTGACTTTCGATAAAGGATAATTAACTTAATTGAATTTTGGAGGTCGAATCAATCAAATAATTTGAAAAGCCTTGTTCATTGATGTGTTGACTTGTAACTAGTGACGTCCACCTGAATTGGAAAGGGTGAGGATAGTAATGAGAAATTCAATCTTAGATTACACACTTGGAAAAGAGTGAAAATGAATAAGTTTGGGGGTGTGGGAATCTTACAAGAGATGAAAAGATATATTTGATCGTAGAGGGTCCGGAATTGGAACAACTTGTGAATTCATTATGTCTACTTAGTTCTTCACACACACACGCCGGTTTTGCATTGGAAAAGTGGATATTAGATTGGTATTGTGATTTTGAAGTAGTTTGTAGATTTAACACCGTGATTTCAAATCCTAAGGTAAAAAGCTAAACGGTCCAACCAAATATTTTTACATGTTTGTGTGTTTGTTGCTATTTAAATTATAGTTTTGTTTGAGGACGAACAACGGTTTAAGTTTGAGAGTATTTGATGAGTGCAAATTGTTCACTTATTTAAGTTGTATTATTAAACTTTTATTTCGTCAATTTATTAATTTCTATTTAACTTAAGGTAATTTTCTTTGTGTTTTTAGTGATGGACTAATTGGAAAATGATGAAGGATTAATTGTTTTTTTTATGCAAAGTTTGGAGATCAAATTTCATACTTTGAAAGTTGAGGACGTGAAGAAAATACTAAATTAAATGGGCCTATGTCTTGGTCTTAACGTTGGATTTAAATTCATTAAACAATTGAATTCCTAATTTAACAAAAAGAAAGTGGGCTGGAGTTAGTTTTTTCGGTGGAAGTGGACTCTAAATTGAAGACAAAAGCATGGGTTGCTGTGGCTAATGTTTATAAATATACAAAACACACAATTGGGCCTTGGATTGGAGTAAAAAAGATATAGGGTTTTCCAAGTATTGAGTAGATATATTTTGGAGAAAAAAAAGGGCTGTCATCTTAGGGGAATTAAAAAACACGCCAATCAGATCAATAGGGCGGCTGTGGGAGGAATTGAAAGAAAATTGCAGCTGCCTTTATATATTTCACATGCCAACTTGGAGGAAAAACATTTTTGGAGGCTTTTGCTGAATTTAAAAGTATACATACACATTCCGTACACCGGCAGACAGGATTGGAAAAGGAAAAAGAGCTGTTGTGTTTTATGATATATAGACAAAAAGGCAGCTGGATTTGGAAAGAAGTTGAAGAAAATTATACTAAATAAAAATCGCAACATTGTGGGGAGTCATATACACGGTGTTGGCAGCTGCAATATACAAGGAAAAGGAGGGGGATTTGATTCTAAATTGGAGACTGCAAAAAAAGGGGCAGCTTGCTGGGGAATTTGTTTACAAACCAATTGGGGGAAAAACATGTCTACCTAGACAAGCCACGCACGCGCAAAAGTGGAGAAAATTTGTGGAGTTAATCACGTTCCGTCAATTTCTCGGTAATGTCTCTCCAATTTTACGCGTTTAATTCCTATCTTATGCTAGGCTAAATATTTTCATGTATTGTATGGATAACATAACTGTTTAATTCTTAGTTTTAATTCGAGACCTGTGTTTTTATCTTAATTATTGTGTTGTGATTTTATTAATGTGCATAATTATATTGTTTTAATGTTTGCGCACCATTAGGACAATAAGTTGCTTATTCTTAGTGTTGAAAAACTCACGATAGGTAAAACACTATTATTTGGATACACGAGCAATAAATGTTAGGAATAATATTTGTGGCGTATGCGATCATTTGTGATAATCCTAAATCTAAATGCGTGTTTGCCATATGAATTCTGACTATGAATAGGATCCTCTCGTGGTAAACATAGGTTTATTATATCTTGGGAAAGAATAATAAATAAAAGTGGAATTATCAATCGTCGCAATTGCATGAATTAAGATAATTATTATTGGTTGAGAATTAGAACTAAGAATTGATCAGTAGAGTCGAAAATCCAATACGTTCGTAGATTTGATTTTTAAACCAACTTTCATTGTTTTCACAAGTTTTAGTTATAAAAATTATTTATCTATTCTTTCAATCGTCTTTTAGTTACAAACATGAATTTAAATATATCAACTACTAAAATTATCCTTATTCCCTGTAGGATGACAACTCTCTCAACACGATTATTACTTGTACAACAAACCCGTACGCTTGAGACATTTTGACGAACAATTACCAAATCAATCTTTTCAACTGCAAAGTATCTGCCAAGTGTCATTACATTGCTTTCACAATCTTATTCTTGACCAATAAACTTTAAACAAGTGTTGCTTCCAAATCTTTGTCACCGTACAAAGAAGCACACTAAGATTGAAGTTCCTAAATATAATTCTTGACACTAACTATTATAATGTATGGTTCGATAATGATGGTTTGAATCACTTTGCCTAAAATATTGGACCTTTATGTTTGGTCAAATTATTTTTTTAGTAAATCTAAAAATCGTACATTTGGTTTTCCTAAAGATTAGATTTTTAGTATATTTTAATAAAAGTTTATGAGAAATCTAAAATTGTACGTTTAGTTTCGTGCTTTTCTTGGATTTCTTTCATGATGCATTGTTTACCAGAGATATTTTGAGAAAGTTCTTAAACATTGTTGGTAATGATTTGGTATTGGAGTTTTACTACAAAAGGCGAAAAATAAGTTCAGGGAAGGGGCTGACTAGATTGGAGAGTGAAGAGGATATTAAGGAAATGATTAGGGTCGGAGATGGGCTTCTATTAATGCAAATATATGTCATAGACCCATTGCATTAATGCATTGCCATTACATTCAACGATATCAGAAGTTGATGTGCAATTGAATAGAGGTGCAGGAAATGAATGTGATGAACCACAAACATTTGAAGGTTGTTACGTACCTTCTCTAAAAGAAAATGAGGGTAAATAGATTGAAACTGATTAGTCAGATTAGTTTTTTCATGAGCATGCTAAAAAGTTGTGGTCACATTAGGAGGAAATACTTCAATACCATTATTAACTAGATCAAATTTATGTGATATTTGTGTGGAAGATGAAAAAGTCGAGTTGAAGCTCATAATGAAGAACAAAGTATAGGAGAGAGAACGTTGAATGTTTGGTAGAATTTGATCATGAGATGGAACAAGAGCTCGTTTATATTGTTGAAGCTGGGAACCGAAGGGTTATTTTGATTTTGGATTCGGTATGTCAGATGAGCAGCTAGTTAGGGAATTGGATACCAACTATAAGGACTCCGATGAGTTGCAAAGCATTGATAGTAAAGGAAGGATGATACAACTTCAAGAAAAAGAGCTTCAACTGATGCTTTCGATACAAGGACTGATGTGAAGGACCTAATGTTCAAAAATGGTAACTTCAACACATTATTTACCTTACTTTAAACTATTCTTTATGGATGATTGATATGATTCCATTTTCTAATTGTTATGGTTAATATTTAAGTCCATGTCAATGTTAAGGCTACCATCACTACACATTCAGTTAGAAACAATAGGGTGATCAAATAATGATGCATTGAGATTGAGAGCCGAACGTAATGAAAAGTGTCCATGTGTATTTTATACTACCAATGAGCATAAGAAGACAAATTGGGTGATCAAAACATATGTAGAAGAGCATATTTGCCCTGTGGTGTATAAGAATTTTTGAGTGAGCTCGACTTATTTGACAAATAGATATTTATCTGACTGGAGGTCTGAACTAAAATGTTGGTAAGCACATTCACAAAGAGGGTTAAAAGGGATGGTTTAGGTCATAATTCACATTGGCGAGCGAATGTATAGAACAAAGGAGAAATCACTTGAAAAGAATTAGCTTGAAGATAACTTTAGTGTCTCACACAAGAGATTAGTTTTGAAGCGTTGTCTTCAAGATGCGGCCAAAGCCACTGTGCTACTGTAGCTTGAACACATGCAAAAGATGTTGAACTTGGACCCAGATGTGTCTGGTTGGCTTGAACCAAAAACAGCATCCTATTGGAAAAAATCCCATTCAAAGAGTAAGCACAGTGTAACATGCTTTTGTACAATTTTTGTGAATCATTCAATAGCACAATTGTCAATGCAAGAGAAAAGCTCATTCTAACTATGCTTGAGGAGATTAGGGTATATTTCATGAAGAAAATTATAGCCCGCAGAGAGTTAGCTGATAGATGGACAGGATTACGGCCATAAAATCCAAAAGATTCTCGACAAAAATAGTAAGTTGGCAAGATTTGAGTGAGCTGAAAATTTGATATAATACAAGCATTGTACTACATGTTGTTGACCTCAAGGCAAGAACTTGTACATGTCGTGCTTAGCAATTATTAAGAATCACTTGTTGCCATGTGATTATCTCAGTGGTATTTAAAGGCCTTAGTGTAATTGATGTAACTATCATGTACAAAAATGAGTCTTACCTCATGACATATATGCCATCAATTTTTCCCATGATTGGTCCAGACTCATGGCCTAGTCCAGATGTCAACCCTCCAAGTCCACCTATGTACGCCAAAAAGTCTGGGAGGCCAAAAAAGAGCAGGCAAAAAGAGCCAAATGAGGTGCAGTCTTCAAGTCAGGCGAAGAAGTCCAAAAAGTCTTTGCAAAATGAAAGCCCCTCAAAAAGCAGGGAAGAGAGGATGATGACTCAGACATGTCGAAAATGTGGTGAACTAGGGCACAATAGGAGCTACTACAGATGGATACCACCACCAGCACCTAATTAGTGACTTAATTTATTTATTTATTGGTTTTTGTTGAATGCACTTGTAGAGAGTTGGAGGTTAGGCTAAATTGTAAATTTCTTTTGTTGATGTGTCTAAATGATTGATAGTATAAGAGTCAAAATGTTGTGTATGACCTTACATAACCTTTTCGTTGTTGCTAAAAGTCTTCATTATGCTTATTTTAGATACAAATTTGGTTGTGACTCTTAATTCTGTTGCTAAGTTTTTTGTTCAGTATGTTGAAACACTATCTTTAAATTGTAGTTTGATCAATATGTTGAGTTACTGTAGTTGATTAATGTCTTGAGATACTATGGTTGAACAAGATGCTTACAGGATATGATGGGGTTGATTTTCACATAGACACAAAACATAGGGACGTTCTACGTAAAGATTGTTGAAATGTGGGACAAGACCCTTCAAAATGTTGGGATGTTTTATGTAAAACCCTTTGAAACATTGGGACTTTATACGTAAAACAGTTTGAAAACATGCGGACATTTTGCAAAACAAATTGTATATCTAAACTTTGGCATATGGTAGTTACCTAGATAATCTAAGAAAAAATCTCATAGACAATAGTTTAGGATTGTTATACATAAATATATTAGATTTGTTAAACGATTCAATAGTTAATATACATCGTTGTGTTGCAAGTTGTTTCCCAACCTCGCTTACACAAGTTACACTTCTGATTAGATTCAATCATCCCGACCATGTTATACTATAGAAATATAACCTTTCAAGAGCTATTTAAGAGCCCTTGATAAATACCAAGCTTCTTTTCAATTCCTACAAGTGTAAGATAAGTTGGATTAGCCAATCCCATGCCACTAGAGTGCGACCTATGATAGACCTAATTCTCTAAAATGAAAAAGAAAAATTCCATGATGCAATAAAGTTTCCTATTTTATTCTTTTAATTAATTTAGTGAGAAAGTAAATAATTATAAAGACCGATACTCGATCCTGATGGTGAGGGTCGAACACAATTTGCATCCCAAGACAACTCGACCAATGGCACTGCGCCCATAGTAGACGTGACCGATCAAGGCTTGGCTTGGTCTTTCTCCCCACCACTCCCCAACAAATAGTAAATGTACATAAGAAACTAAGCAATGTAACTTTTCTTGTGCACTATAAAATCAAGAATCTCTTAATAAATCCATAAAAGAATAATTCCAGATCTCGTACTGTCTTGTTCAAAAGCTTTATATATACAATTTCTAGGACTAGGATGATACACTTCATTAATTACCTGCATATGGCATTCTGGAAAAAAAAAAAAAAGAAGCACTAACTTTGGCTAATAAACAAATGTCCAAAATTTCTATTAATTCTACTCAGTCCACGAGTCTTTGATATCATCTTCATTTACATATTCTGATGTAATGCCCGATTACTGGTTTGGTATCAAGAAGCTTCTTAATGCATGTAGTTCAATTAATATCTTAGGATTAGCATTTAATTATATCTTAAATCTCTCCAGATTATGTATAAATTAACTTAAGTCGCAAGACAATTGGTGCATACGCCATTTTTCGAGAGACACCAACTCCCACTAAATATTATTTCTTAGTTAAGATTATGCTTCCTTTAAACCACATTAAACTTTTGAGTAATGTTATTTAGCACCGCTGGTGTTTAAAACTAACTTAGGTGGCAGCACTAGTGGCATTAAATTACAGATTCAATACAAAAAATTATGCCATTTAATAGGACTTATTATATGATGATACCCAGAATTGTGTTCAACACCATTGGTGCTGCATAGTATTATTCTATACTTTTACATGAAGTTCGTATTTCAATAATATCTTAAGTTCAAGTATCGTTATCACTTATTTATTAAATTTATTCACCTAACATATTTTTGATAAAGAATGATTAATATTTTAATTTTTAAACGAGACAATTCAGTATATGATAACAAACTATGTATTTTAATACACATTGTTAGGGGATTCAATCCCCGGAACTTCTATCTTAATCTCTTTGTTTGCCTCTTTTTACTCTCTTCCTTTGGATTTTTGTCCATTCTAACAAATTTTCATACTTGAAAATTATTATATACTTCCAAATCACTCGATTTTAGATAATTTGAACAATTTACAACACAAAATCTAACAAAAATACATATTCTTGATAGAATTCTGAAAAACCATTCATTTTGTAATTTAATTTGTCTACTCTAGAATCTATGCAACTTCTAATAAAATAATGCTCTTGAAGTGCATATTATAAATACATGTACATGAACACAAAAATATATACCTAGCACGAGTACAGAAACTATTACATGTATACTATGAAAGTTACAAATATATTATTTCTAGAATTTTCTTTATCGCAAAAATTAAATTGTATTTACAATACTCTTAAAGTATGTGAGATTTATTTTCATCATTGTTTGAAGTATACAATTTTCATAAATAGATAACATTGAGACGTGATGTCCAATCATTTCAGTGTTATAGTATTAAGTTAAAAGCACCCCAAATAATGATTTGCGATAATTGTGTTCAATAGATTGTCATAGAAAAAAATCTCATAAAACAATTTAGTTTTTCCATGATTCATCAAGCAAATTAATGAATTGCTTGATATGTGTCATGCAGCTAAAGTCTAACACGAATATTGTGAAACCATAGAAAATCAAAGTCGACTAAACTTTACAACTCGTAAGTAATTACATTTTTTTGTCCTTGTAGACAACGTTCCAAAATATTTACTTTTTTACCATCATTATATATGTAATTTAAAAACCATCATATTATTCTATAAACAAAGCCACTGTTTGGACTACATTAAAATGAGATTTCAAGGGGAAATATGTTTTGAAATAGTGATTTTTTGGAAAATCCGTAGTTCCTAAAAAAGGAAAATATTTGAGTTTAAGTGTAACATTACTTTATAGAAAGACATGGGGTTAAAAATGAATTTTGGAAGAAAGGAGCTAATTGTTTCACTTCTTTTTTTCGAAAGAAAATGATTATTCAAAATTCTATTGCGAACATATTGTCAATTCTTCTTTTATATAACTTTAGATCAACTATCAGATACATCCCTATTTGATAAAAAAATATAATCAAAATTTTTATCAAAATTAAATTTAGCAATTCATTTAAACACATATTTTATGGTATCCATAACTTTTCAACTATACATGTCATTAACTTTTATTAAAATTTATTAAAACTTTTATTTTAATCATCGTAAAAAGGGGGCATAATATTTTTGGTTGCAAAGTTAATGCTTTAATATTCTTTTGAGTTTACATATCAAAATCAAACACATTGAAGCAAATTTTTAGGTGTTCATTTTCGGTGTCACCAATCTATTTCTTTGAACTCCAAATTATTGAGAAATTTCTTATCTTTGAGGGGACAAGACATATGTGGTGTTGCTAATGATGTAACTAAATAATTTAAAATATTGTTGCACTTTTTCTGGTAGAGAAATATATGATAAGTTATGAAAATATGTTCTGCAAGTTATGCAATATCTTATGGTTCTTTAATTGACCAATAATCAATTATATCCAAATGATTCAAAATAAAGCTATTCCTAGATCATATCATATAAATATATATCACGTGTTTAGGTAACACTAAGTCCCCTAATTTTTTGGACCTGGAGAATGAATTAGGATCACTTAACACTTGGACTAGTGATAATCACAATTTTAATGAATGATTGATGCAAGAGGATTCGAGTTGATTGATATTGATATGTCAGATAGTACGTTGATGGTGTTGAGATATCTTGAGATGGCGGATCGGTGCAAGGATGGAAAATAAATGTAATATTTCCTTCATTGGGGGCAATTTTACACATTTTTGGTAATTTGATCATAACTTTGGCTACGGTTATCAAAATCGTTATTATGACCCTAATCCAGAAAACTCTTTTCAATGCACACGTCGTGGTCACCGTCAATTTCGAGTCCAAAATTCGCTGTTTTCCTTTCCAAAATTCAATTTTTAGTTATATTTTACTATTTATGGTAATATTTTGTTTCCTTTTTTTCTATATGTTAGAGAATCCGGATTAAGCCAAATTTTTGGCAACTTTCTTTTGTTTCATATTTTATTTCGGAATGATTTTTGGGATTTTTCTATTTTTGGTAAATTTTTCATATTTTAGAATTTTATTAGCTGTTTAACCCGACTTGTGGATTAATTTTCATCATTCTGCATTGATAATGAAATCGAGTTAATTACAAAGAATTTCTCTATGTTTTATGAGGTGTTTTCTTTCACACTTCTCTTTGGGAATCATATGTTGCAACAAGCATGTAGTAATCTTCAAATACAAACAGGATCTTTAATTCTGTTTCATCCTCCCCATCATGTGCACCGGAGTCATAAAAAGTCCAGACAACAATGATCATAACAACCTTAATAGAAACACAATTCATATATCGAGGTTCCACAAACCCAGGATAATCGTCAATAGCAATAATGTCTGAGCAGGATGTAATATCTTGATACATCATGGGCAGGAAGTGGTTATCCACTGTTGGATATGGGATCACTCTCTCTTGCTTATTGCTTGGTATATCAAATATATTTACATCTGCTTGCATAGAGTTCCCCCAATGTTGTTCTTTTTAGCTAAGAGTTTTCTTCTTTTCTTGCTTCTAAGAAGGGTTGCGTGTTCTCCTGAAATGGGTTCTACAATAATTTTTTATTTCATTGTCTGTTCTCCCGAGAGGGTACCGCGCAATGGTGGACCATCTGTGTTAAACATTACAAATACTGATGGTGTTATGACCCAAAGAGGAAGAGAAAGATAGATTTTTTGATATAAAAAAAAAGAGAGAGATCAGTACATAGATACACACTGACCATCTACAATACATATATTTTACAAAAGACTTCTACCATACTTCAAATCAACTATCCCTACTTGCTACACACTATTTTTTGACAGGTTAAAGACCTTACAATGATTGACATATAAACCAACAAAAATAGATACTACAAGGACAGATTTTAATACGTATGATTGCTACAAGATGTAACGACAAAAGTGACAATTAACATTCAACACTCCTCATTGACACTTTTGCTAGAAATACCAAGGTTTTTCCTTAATGTTTCAAATCTTCCTTTGGGCAAGGACTTAGTAAAAATGTCAGCATACTGGTCCTCAGAATTACCATGTATCAGCTTGACTTCTTTTCTATCTTGAGCTTCTCTTATTGAGTGATAGTTGATCTTTATGTGCTTTGTCCTTCCATGAAACATCGAGTTCTTCACCATTGCTACTGCCGACTGATTATCACAGTAAATGACTGTAGCTTCCTCTTGCTTGTGATTAAAATCCTCCAAGACTTTCCTTAGCCATATTGCTTGATTTGTGGCCTCTGAAGTTGTTATATATTCTGCCTCTACAGTTGATTGTGCCACCTTTTACTGTTTCATAGAATTCCAACATACAACACTTGATCCAACATAATATACATAACCAGATGTGCTCTTTATGTCATCAACAGAGCCAGCCAAATCACTATCTGTAAATCCGGTTAGAAACAAGGTTTTTGATTTCTTGAACCAGATTCCCGGTTCCTTAGTTTCTTTTACATATCTCAGCACTCTTTTTGCAGCTGGGAAATGAAGTTCACCTGGTTCTTGTCTAAATCTGGATAAGATATTGGCAGCAAAAATGAGATCAGGTCTAGTCGAGGTTAAGTATAGCAGGCATCCAACCATACTTCTATATATTTTTTCATCAATTTTCTTGGCTCCATCATCCTTCGATAATTTCAAATTTTGAACTAGAGGAGTACTTAGTCACTTGCAGTTTTCCTTATTGAATTTCTTCAACATCTTCCTAATATATTTTCTTTGACAAACAAATATCTCACTTTGAATTTGGAATATTTCCATGCCAAGAAAATAATGCATTTCTCCTAAGTCAGTCATTTCAAACACCTTTTTAAATTCATTTTTCACCTTCTTAATCATTGTATAACTACCACCAGTAATCAAGAGATCATCCACATACAAGGAGATAATGATCATCTCTTTCTCCTCTTGTTTTATGTACAAAGTTTGTTCATTCAAACTTCTCAAGAAGCCAAGTTTGCTCAAATGTTCATCTGTCCTGCTGTACCAGGCTCTTGGAGATTGTTTAAGTCCATACAAGGCCTTTCTTTGTAGATAAACTTTCTCTTCATTTTCTACCAATTGGAAACCTTCGAGTTGTTCGATGAAAATCTCTTCCTCTATGCGTCCATTCAAAAATGCTAATTTAACATCCAATTGGTAGATTTTCCAACCTCAGTTTGCTATAGCAAAAAGCATTCTAATGGTTTCATGCCTGGCTACTGGAGCAAACGTATCAGTGAAGTCTATTCCATATTGTTGGGCATATCCTTTCACAACCAGTCTGGCTTTAAGTTTATTGACAGATCCATCTGGATTTAACTTTGTTTTGTATACCCACTTCACTCCGATTACATGTTTATCTTTTGGTCTATCAACACCCAAGTTCAATTATTTTCAATCATGTTTAGCTCCTCTTTCATTGCAGCCATCCACTCTTTAGAACCTCTTGCTTCAGCAAAGTTTGAAGTCTCCAATGCCACAACATTATACCTAGCATATATGTCTACAAGTGGCCTTGTTTTCAGCACAGCATTTTCAGATTCTGAGTCACTATTCGACTCTCCTTCTTCTTCACTAACATTAGTATCATCTACCTAAAAATTGCTATTGGATTATAAGGTTGCTAGATTGAACTTGATTCCCAATTCCATGTAGATTCCTCATCAACTTTGATGTCTCTACTGGATCTCACCTTCTTACTTTGTGGATTGAAAACTCTATATCATTTGGCATTATTCCAAAAACCAATCAAGACACCTATCTTAGCCTTTTGACTCAATTTATCCCTCTTAACATCAGGAACATGAATAAAGCAAACACTACCAAACACTTTCAGATGAGATACATCAGGTTTTATTTCATACCAAGCTTCAAAGGGTAATTTTTTTTATCCAAAGATTTTGTAGGCAATTTG